CAATTTCAAAAGAAACAAAACTTTGGGTGTTGGGGCCAAGATTAATGTTGTCTGAACAGTTTTTGTGAAGATCCTGTGTAGCCCAGTTAGCTGGGCTGGGTCTGTAGAGATCACGTCTTTTCACATAGAAAAGATGCTATTGATTTCCTGTTAGGATTATCTCGACAATGCGCAGCATCTATCTGTGCAGCAGAGACAATCTTCCATCACCCGCTTTATGGGAAGAGAACGGTTATTGTATCTTTCCCCATAAAATATAATCTCTCTTCCTCTTCCAGAACCCTCTCATCCCCCTGGGAATTTCCACTTGTGATCTGTGAAAGCGAATTGATTTTTTTATTATTATTTTTGCATGTGCCAGGCTTTTTATATTTGGCTCCTCTACATTTTCTCATTGTTCTCTGGAGCCTGGCGTTTCTAGGTTGTTACTGGAGCTATTCTAAAAATAAATAAATAAAAAAATAAATAAATAAATAAATAAATAAATAAACAAACCGACCACAGAAAACTTGGCAGTGCCATTGAGGCAGGTGTGGCAAGGTGGGCGTTCCCTGACCTGGCTCGGCTAGGCCGCCCCTGCTTGGCCCTTCTGTGAGGTTCCCTAGCGTGTTTCATCAGGATTGCAGTATAGTGCTGGCTGACGGGAATGCTGCTGCTGGCCCAGGCTCCTCCTGCTATGTCACGGCAATGCTCAGGCTCACTTTAGATTCAGAGCAGTCGGGCACGGATATCACTGGTCTGTGATCCCAGCCCCGAGCGGGAGGGGGGAGCAGTGGGGTCAGGAGTTCAAGGTCACCTTGTCTGTACATGGGAACTGGTCTCACACAAAGCAAAACAATTGGACAAGGCGTGGGGAGATGGCCTAGCTGAGAACGTATGTGCCTCCTAACCACAGGGATCTGAGTGCAGTGCCCAGAACTCACAGAGAAACTGGACATGATGGCAGGTACTTGAAAATCCGGCGCTGGGGAAGCAGGGCTAGGAGAGCCTGGGGCCTCACCGGCCTGCCACATCAGCCTAATCGGGATGTCCGGGCCAGTGAGAGACTCTCTCGGAGAAGATGCATGTTTGAGAATGAATGATACTGGAAGCTGACCTCCGGCTTCCATGCAAACACGCATGTACAAATACACATACATAATGCATAATTTACACACATTTAAAATAAAAGGAGGAAGAGGGCACAAGCGCTGGAGAGACGGCTCGGTAGTTTAACAATACTTGCTGCTCTTCCAGAGGACCCAGGTTCAGTTCCCAGCCAGGACATTTAGTGTCTCACACCCACCGGTAATTCCCATACACGCTTGGCATACAGACATAGATATTAATAAAAAAGAAAAAAAATCTATCAAAGCCAAGAGCAAGCAACAAAGATACAAGGTATTTAAAATATAAAACCGCATCTATACACATGCACATTAGTTAAATTTATTCGTTGCGTGTGTGTGTGTGTGTGTGTGTGTGTATGTGTGCGTGTGTGTTCACGTTAAGAGTTGGTTCTCCCCATCCATCACGTGGGGCTTGGGGACTGGATTCAGGTCGTCAGGTCTGGTAGGAAAGGTTGTGACCCGCTGAGCCTCGCCTCACACGCAGGCTCAGAGCTGCCTCGTGACAGCTGACAGGTTGGCCTGAGAAGACTCCAGCAGGAAGCTGTCCTGTCCCGAGTGTCTTCAGAGAGGCAACAGTAGCCAGCTGTGAGGTTTGTCCTTGGGGTTTCTCCTACCTTCCTGTTTTGGGACCACCCCTCCTGCTTCCTGTCTACAGTCCCACCAGCACTTGGTGGCCTCTGTCACACCTGCCCACTTCTCCTCAGGCTCCGCGGTCCTCAGCGGCTGCAGCACCCTGACCAGCCCTCACAAGTACACAGTCACAGCACTTCAGGAGCACGCTCCTCACGCCCGGCAGGGTTTCACGCAGTTGTCATGATGTCTGGTCTTCAGGCTCCATCCTCTTCCACCTGCTCCATTTCCACACTGGGCCTGGTGCCAGACAAATTAATTTCCCACTATTACCAGATCAAGGGCTGTGGCTCAGCTGGGGAAGAGGGCTTGCCCAGTCAGTGCCAACGCTCGGGTTCAGTCCTCAGCACTGGGGGAAAAAGAATTGTGAAAAAAACAAGTGTGCAAACAAACAAACAAACAAAAAAACAAAAAACAAAAAAACCTAAGCAACCAAATAAGAAACTGAGAATCAAAAAACAAGGAAACTGGTGTAGTTGCCAGAGGATTGTCTTTAAAAAGCTATGTAATGATGAGTTGAATGTATTATGTAGCAATATATTTACCGTGGAACCTAACCCTGACCACACGATGGCATATAATAGTACACCATGCCATATTATAGATGGCAGCTTATAGACCTATGTATTAGGAGCATTCCTGGTATAAAATTATGTGTTATATCAGAGCATATTAGTATAAACGTCAAGATTCATATGTTGATGGGATTAGAAAAACAGTAGCAGCCTTCTCCACCGACACAACGTGCCAGTTCAAGCCAAATCAAGATGATAAAGGCAGGTTTATTGAGAGACGGCTTTCGGCAGGCTCATGTGCCATCTTGTGCCTGGGCTAAAGCAAGGGGTTTTATGGGTTTTGGATGCAGGGTCAAGACGGTGAGCTAGGAGCCAGGATTGTGCCCAAGTAAGAAGCAGAGCCCTCCGGCAGGCACTCTCGGGTGGGTTGCTGGAGACTTGGAGGCCAGAAGGCAGGGTTGAGGGAAGGCTGGGGGTTTCCGGCTGGTGAGGGCGAGCCGGGGTCCTTACCCAAGGATGGCTCAGCAGGTGAGCGTGCACTGCTCTTGCAGAGGACACGAGCCTGGTTGTCAGCACCCACATGGCAGCTCACGACCACCTCTAACTCCAGCTCTCGGGGATCCAACCCCCTCTTCCGGTCTCTGTGGGCACCTGCGTTCACGTGTGTGCGCTTATGCACACACGCACATACTTAGGCATGCACACGGTTAAGAAAAATCTTCGTAAAACGCCGTACGTTGAAGTCAATGCCTGACTGCCAGGACCTCACGTGTGGTGAAAAAGTGAAAGTGAGGCTTTCTGGGGGCTCCCAGCAGGACAGGACAGGTAAGCTTGTGGAAAGCGGCCCTCAGGATGCACACAGGCACGCAGGTGCGCCCATCTGAGCTCAGAGGGGTCAGTGCTGCTTAGTGCTGGCAGCTCGGCCCAATCCAGACTCTCCTGGGAAGAGCCTCAGTGAGAAGCGCCTGGGCCTGTCGGCCGGTGGGCGTTTCTCTGAGGGGCTTCCTTGCTTGGGTTAGTTGACGGGGGAGATCCACTCTGACTTTGGGAAGCGCCGTCCACGGGCCTGTCCTGGACTAGGAGGAGAGGGTGAGCTGAGCGTTGTCCCACGTGCACCGACTCTTCGCGTGGCTGCGGTGTGAAAATCCGCTGCCTGCGGCTCCTCCTCCCGACCTTAGCCCCGCCCCTAAAGAGGGGCCGGAGCCGGAACAGCGAGCTAAAGAAACCCTGTCTCCCTGGAGTTGCTTTTGTCCCGGCATTGTATCATGGCACCAGGAAAAGCAGCTCAGACAGGCTACATTCTCCAGTCCTGAAGTAGTTTTTACTGGAAAGTGTATTTCTGTCATATGATTGTAAAGGTGCAAGGTCCTGCCATCTTCAAGCCAGCTAAGGCAGGAGGATTACAAGTTCCAGGCCGTAACATAGCAAGAACCTGTGTCAGAACGCCAGTCTCTGTCTCTGACTCTCCCTCTCTCTCTCTCACACACACACACACGCACACGCACATGCACACGCACACGCACAGAGTTGTGCCTGTTCGTGAGCACGCCTTGCCAAGGAGAGGCTGTGGGAGAGAGCGGGCAAGGACTGTGAGAGCAGATGTGGGTTGTTACGGCACTATACAGTGGTGTTAGTGAACAACCCAGCTGAAGGCCAGACCGGGAGTCAAAGGCTTAGCTTGGCATCCAGGGCACCTGTGTCCTCCCCACCCCAACGATCTCAGCTCACCACTGAGGTGGAAGTTCCTGGTGCCTTTGAGCCATGTGATGTTCTGGGAGAAGCTGTCTTGTGCGAGGGCACGTGAAGTTTTGCTGTGAGCTGTCTTGTGCGAGGGCTGTGACTTTGGCCAGCTGACAACATCTGTAGGTGGACTCCGAGGAGAGGCGACATATAGGAGCCCACAGACAGTGAGATATTGCTTTTTGGATCGACATCAGTGCGCTGATCTTCATGCTTTGACACTTGACTTCGCAGAGAGAAACGGTCCAGATCGCTTCTCGGGGCAATCCGGCTGAGTCTTCCAGCTTTTGCTGACTTGTCCGAATCTTCCGTAGTCATATTGATTTGTGTTGCTGCTTGGTGTTGGCCTTTGGACCTACTGCTGGTATCTGGACATTGACTCATCCCAAAGAACTACTTCTAAAAAGGTCTACAACCCCCTTGTCCTAATAACCTTCTTTCTCCCCTACCTCTGGTCGGAGGGTAACAGGGAGGTAGAAGAGCTCAAGAACCCTAAATCAAGAATCTAAGCCCCCACACACCACCCTCCTCTCATCCTCCGTCCACTCAGGAGCTGCTCCAGGCGCCTCACCCTACAGAGCCTCCCAGGCTCCCTGCTTCCACCCTGCTGTGCTCTCTTCTTGGATGGTTTTTACTTTGTCTCCTTCCCAGCCCTCCCCAGCTGAGGCCCCCCAGATCCAAGCCCTCCTAGAAGCTTCTGTGATGTTCCACAAATCATAAGACAGAGCTTTCTCCTGGGTTCTGTGGTGGTTTTAAAACCGTGTTCCTCGGGGCAGGGCCCCTGGGGTAATGGGTGTGGGTGTGGGGAGCGAGGGCTGAGCATCTACCCACACAGCCTGTAGGGCTGCCTGACTTCTTCCTGCGTTGGTGTTTCTTCACTGCTCCTCCTTTCTCTTCCCCTCCTTTCTCTCTGTGACTCTATTTCTTTCTATCCGGTCCGATGTAGCTCAGGCAGGCCTCTAAGTTGCTATGTAGCCAGGGATGGCCTTAAACTTTTGTTTTTTTTTTTAATATGGACCGCTTCATGAATTTGTGTGTCATCTTTGCTCAAGGGTCCATGCTAGTCTTCTCTTTATTGTTCCAATTTTAGTATATGTGCTGCCAAGGTGAACATGACCTTGAACATTGGAGCCCCCAGTGTTCTGGGATTTCACGTATGGGCCACCCTGCCCAGTTGATATGGTTCCAAGGATCAAACCCAAGGCTGTGTGAGTGTTGGTCAAGCATTCTATGGACTGAGCTACATCCTGCTCCTCTGCTCCCTCCTCTTCCCTTCTCCCCCATCTCTAATAGGGTTTTGCTAGGTGCTCAAGTTGGCCTAGGACTTGTATTATGTAGCCCAGGCTGGCCTGGAGCTTGTGATCCCCCTGCCTCTACCTCCCAGTTTCTAGGATTACAAGCATATGCCATCACGGCTCACTTTTTTTTGCTTGTTGTTTCAAAATGGTGGCTCTGGAGAACCCATCCTGGCTGTAGCTGTGACAAAGTGTCCAAAAGCAGGCCACAGGAAGCTAATGGCCCTTGCTCAAGAAACACTTAAGCAAACAAAGCTCATCATGCTCTTCTCTAGGTTTCCTAGACTCGTGCTCACAGCTAAGGATAAACTCAATTATCAAAGTCACTGGCCCAGAAGATGGGGCCTCGGAGAAGCAGTGTCTGCTGCCTTCCACGGCCTGCTGGCGGCCGCTGCACGCACGAAGCCCCGCTCCCTGCCTTATCCATTTGTTTCTGAGGACGGAGGGATGACAGTGGGTGCTTTTCAGCAGATGTGGGTACTTCCCGGGTCACATCTGGCCAGAGTCGGCTGGCCCGAGACCTCACAGAGAAATCAATTCCCGTTCCCTTCGGCTGACCTTAGGGCCCTCTTTGCAGGCTTGCCTTTCTCTATTGTAATTAGATTTTGTCTGTGATTTATACAGTCCTGTTTCTTTCAGCAGCTACCACCAAGGTCCCAGTGACGAAAGGAAGAGAAGGTCTGTAATTACGTTCTGCCTAGAGATGGCAAGGAAAGGGGGCAGCTGCCAGCCGGTCTTGTCCGTTTGTGCCTGGGATTGCAGATGTCCTCCTGGTCATGGTAGAAACTTTGAGAGGAGAAATGCCAACAGGTTGGGCTTTGCTGGGCTTGTGTGGACCATCATTGTCTCTACAAAGTCTCTGAGAATTAAGTTAGAGCCTTTCTCCAAAGGTGTGTGTGTGTGTGTGTGTGTGTGTGTGTGTGTGTGTGTGTGTGTGTGTGTAGGCCAGGGGTCACCTTGAGGTTCATTCCTCAGTTGCCATCCTTCTTGTTTTGACAGTCTCACTTGGCCTGTGGCTCTCCAATTCAGTCTCTGCTTCCCTAGGTATTGCTAGAACAGAGCACCACGCCCCTCCTGTTTTTCACGACCACGCCCCTACTGTTTTGCATAACCACGTCCTACTATTTTCCATGACCACGCCCCTGCAGCTGTGCAAGGCTTCTGGGGTTCAAGTTCAAGACCTTGAGCTTCTGTGGCAAGCATGTATGGCAAGCACTTTACAGCTCTCCCGCCTTTTACCGAAGTTTGGAGCGAATTTCCTGTGCAACCCCGGGTCGGGGAGCCCCTGAGGGCTCAGGGGGTGAGGGAGCCGGGAAGGCGGGGCTCGGCTTTCTCCAGGAAACCTGCCAGTGTTTGCTTACCCCGGTGCCCCTGCCCGCCTTTTGCTTTCAGACCCCAGGCTGTTTACAGGGAAGGCGAGCTTGTCCGCTGTGCAGATTGAAGCGTGCACCTCTCCTGGGGCTCTGGGAAGCCTCCACAGCTAGCTTCCTGGTCGGGGTCATCTGGTCTGATGACCGGTCCATCGAGAATCTGCCATGGCTGTCCTGCTTCTGATCAGTTTCCATGGATATCGCCCTCGTTATCCCAGTTTTCTGCAGGCAGGAGCTGCGCCTCCGTGGGCTTTACTCACTGTGAGAACTAATCTGTGCAAAGCTCTCAGGATAAACCTGTTTGTTTGTTTTAAATTCTTTTTTAATGGTGGTAGAAGGATTGTAGATCCAGGGGAGCGGTGGGGAGGGGAACGGAAATACATTTACCATATGCTTGCTTATTATCGAACATTTGCATCTCATTTTCACCCCAAGCGTAAATCTGCACCGCAGTTCAAGCTTGGAGACACTTGCTTGGGAGGTGGCTATGGCTGGGGACCTACCAATCACTTCCTCTTCCACCCTGAGCATTGGAAGGGCGGGCCTCGCTGGCCACAGCTGCTGCTGCCCCTAAGCCTCACAGAGTGGCTCAGGACACAGGGAGCGCTCTCGCTCTCTGTATGCGCTGGACGATTGAATGGCTATTTTCTTTTTTTTCTTCTCTTACTCAGCTGAAGAGAGCAATTAAGTTTAAGATGCCTTGTTTAAGACAAGGTGCTTGTGGTTGTAAAGAAGAAGAAGAAGAAGGAGGAGGAGGAGGAGGAGGAGGAGAAGGAGGAGAGGAAGAAGAAGAAACACTCAGGAACTGGGAATGGGGGTGGGGAGGGACCTACAGCCTAAGAAAACGCTGGAGCAGTGCTGAGGGTGGTGGCACACGTCTCTAAGTCCAGCACTCTGGAGGCAGAGGCAGGGGGATCTCCGTGAGTTTGAGGCCAGCCTGGTGTACAGAGTGAGTTCCGGGACAGCTGGGACTACATAGAGCGACCTTGTCTCAATAAGATGAAAAAAGAAGGAAAGAAAAAGAAAAAAAGTCATAAAAACCAAACCAAAACCATGCCCCCACCAAAAAAAAAAAAAAAAAAAAAAAAAAAAAAAAAATCAACCAACTAAAGAAAAGACAAAGCAACAATAGTAAAAGGATCCAGGAGCCTCAGCAGCCAGCAGCTCCCACCTTCCTTGTTTCTGGCTGTCTGTCCTCAGTTCTCACCTATCTGTCCTTAAACACATTTTCTCAGCATCAGTTTTTTTTAAAAAATATTATTTATTATCTAAAAATTATTATTATTATTCTGCCTGAATGTGTGCCTGCACGCCAGAAGAGGGCACCAGATCACATTACCGATGGTTGTGAGCCACCATGTGGTTGCTGGGAATTGAATTCCGGACCTTTGGAAGAACAGCCAGTGCTCTGAACCTCTGAGACATCTATCCAGCCCCCAACATCAGTTTTGATGCAACAGATCTGGTGTTATGAGGATCAGTCCCAATGTAGCATGAGATTGGCAAGGGAGTCAGGGAGAGTCTGATTGCTTGAGAGAGCAGTTTGATGTTGTAATTTGCAACAGAAATGGGTGTGTTTGTGGCTCAGGACTAAGGTGACTTCATCTTGGCTGGAACGTTCAGGTTCACCTCAGGTTGCAGCTGACAGAACTCAGAGGTTGATAGCATGGGATGGGGAATGAACCAAGGTCAATAGAGTACTTGCTGCACAAGATTGAAGATCTGAGTTCGAGTCCCTGATTCCCATGTAAAAAGCTGGGTATGTCAGCATGTGTGTTTGTGCACAAACACACACACACACACACACACACACACACAGACGGGTGGGTGCGCTCGCGCTCGCACACAGCAGGTGTATGAGCACATCCCACACATGCACAGAGTCAAGCACTTACCCAAAGTCAGAATCCCCACATAAAGCCTGGAGAAGAAGTCAGTCATTGGCACTTGTTTTTAAACTCTACTTTATTTGGGGTTCCTGAAGCCCACAACCCTGTGTAGGAAAAAAAGAAGGTTAGAAAGGGACAGGGGACACAGACATCTTTAGACTTCTGGCTGGTTAGGCTCGTCAGGTTCTTTGGGAAAATACCAGTCTTAGTCAGGATATCTAGCTGTCCAGCAACAGCAGATGGCAAACGCACAAGATGAACAAGCAGCCTTCCTTCGTCTGTCTCCTCCAAGCCCCTCTCTGGGCTCTAGTATTTATACCTTCTCAGAGTCCTCAGAATCCCACTGTCTGCAGCTGCCAAAGACCATTTCCTGCACGAGGAAATTATTGGCTGTGGACAGACTGAGGTAGTCCCATATTCCACACTTGGGATTAAAACAAAACCATATTTACATAACATAACTGAGTTGTTAAACCAGAACTTCCACTGGAGTCAGTGGTTCTACCTCTACGCAGGCAAACCCAGCTAAGATTACTCAAGGACAAGCATACACACACACACACACACACACACACACACACGCACACGCACACGCACACGCACACACACACGCACACACACATATGTCTCAAGAGGGCTATGGTATGCCATACTATGTCCATACACTGCCACGGAGTCTTCGAGTCCACATTTCTTCTTCCTCAGTACTTGAGTTGTACAAGGCCCTTTGTGTCTTTGGATGGAGTCTTCCTTCCATATAATGTTTGAATGTCAAATCCCAACATTAACTGTCCATTTTGCAACCCCACAGGGCAACACACAGCCCATGCATGGGTCGTCTCTGAGGTAGTTTTGTGGGTCAATCCAGTATAACGAACAGGTAATGTTATATGCCACAAGTGGCTCACTGGAGGTTCCTGTGAGGTACGGCATGGCGTGGACACTTGTGTGGCAAAACTTTTCCTGAGGAGATACAACACACCATCTGCTCACCACAGACAGGGAGCCCACGACCAACCAAAGAACAGATACCACTAAAGTCCAGTTTGGTGAACCAAGGAATTTTATTGGGGTGACTTACAGGAGCAGAAATTACTCCAAGACTTCTGCATCATCAAAGCCCACCCAGCATGGGTGACACTTACAAAGCTGGGGATCTGAAGCACACTGCGCAGCCTGCAGACAGACCGGTAGGTTGGAGAGTTTTCTTTTTAGGTGCCTCAGGTGGTCTAAACCTCTCCCATGCAGCTGGTCTGGTCTGAGAGTCTTCTTTGCGGCTCAGCTTCCTTCCCTCTGAGAGTGACTCTCAGCTTTTATCACTTACTCTGCCAAGGAGGGACCCAGTGAGTCTGCTCAGTTTTAGGGACTTCCTGAAACTCTGAGTTGTTTTCCTTCCTCCTCTGCAAACAGTATTCTTGTTGCACTCTCCATTGTGTGACACAGGTAGGTAATTCTGAACCTTGATCCCAGTTGGCTGTGGTTGCAGAAGCCAGTGAGGGTCACTTTAGTTCCCTTGGCTAGCATGTTCCCAAGGAAGCCAGCTCCTCTTGGGCACTGC